CCGTCGACCGCCTTCGGGTGCCGTCGACCGGGCAATGCCGGGTGGCGACTACTTGGGGGAGGTCTTTCTCTGTAGCTGCTCTGGCCCTGTGGAACGATCTTCCCGCAGAGATCCGGACCCTTCCCACTCTCTCGGCCTTTTGTAAAGCCACTAAAACCTGCCTGTTCCGGCAGGCCTGGGGCTGTTGACCCCAAAATATGGTCCAGCCCCACTTGGAATGGAGTGCATGGTGTGTTTTTTAAATCTATCTTTTCTTTCCTTCCCTTCTTTTTGATTTATTTGTATTGTTAGCCGCCCGGAGTCCTACGGGATTGGGTGGCATACAAATGTTATTAAACTTTGAAACTTTGGAAAAGCTCCAGTGATGGAGCACCCACAGTTTCTGGAGGCAAGCCCTTCCGCTGATCAGTTGTTCTCACTGTCAGTGCACTGATAATGTTATCTAGTTTGGATAATGAAACATTTGCAAGAAAACAGCCAAGTTCAGAGAGCACCAATGACCCCTCACTTTTATAGTGGCTCACATTTGGCTTTGCCTTCATGGAAAGTTAGCATTACAGAGTGGTCATAATAATTCCGTCCCAGGCTCTAAATCAGGAGTGGGGAACTACAGTATGTCCCTTTTATGACACGTGGATTTCAATTCCCAGAATTCTGGGACTTGAAATCCACAAGTATCCATCGTTCCCCCATCTCTGCTCTAAACCCATGAATGCAGCTGAGCCAATAGCCGTTTCTAAACATTCTCAGCTCTCCTTAGTTTCCACTGGACCTTGCAGTGTACCAACATTTAAATTTTAAATTTCCCAACATTTTCTTATGTGGGCAGCCGATGCCCTTTTGTTTCTGTTGAGTTTGCACAACCTGCTTCTGTAATACTAATGCACCCAAGGGAATGTAATGTCATCTCCTCAATTTCCTGTGGGAGACTCAAGGGCTCCTTCTGATTTTTTTTCCCCCTGGGCTTCAATCCTATTCTAACAGCTTATTGCAATAAATGAGTCATAGAAGTTCTTAAATATCTAAAAAAAAAGCATTTTAAATATCTGACAGTGTTTATAAAGAGGTCCTGAACTGTCCATCTCAAGGCGGCTCCGATGAGACATTTGTTCTTGGCAACTTTAACAGTTGCACTCAAAGGGAAATTGCTACACCCATCCAAGAACTTGGTTTTACATATATTATTGGCATCTTGCCCCAACGTTTCATCCTGCATTGGGGAGCAGTGCCATACTTCAGTCTCATTTCCACACATGCAAGCACAGCAGCTCAGACAGTTGATGCATAAATAAACAATACTGCATAGCTATTACTTTGATCCCTCCCTAAAATGTTCTACCTTGTTTTATTGCTTTGGCAAAACTCCAAAGGGTTTTATCAGCACGTACCTGGTGGACAGATAGGATGTTACTAAAAGAAGAACATTCCTCAACATGAATAACATGGTACTAAGTGTGTTGTGTTTTTTAATTTTTTGACACAAGAGGGAGCCACTTTAACAAACTTTAAAAAAAACATTTAAGGGCTCTTGAAACTATTATTACAATAAGGAATGCAATGGGGATTTAAATTCAATTTTTCTCTTTTGAATAGTGGTGATTTTAGGATAAAACCAGCTCAGAAATTTCAAGTAAGAAATTTGGGAAAGGTCAAGCTTTCATCTATGGTTCCCAATCTAAAAATTTCAATTGCTTAAGATTTCATCTGACATATAAAAGACATTTTGAACACTGAAGATAAATTACAATTGAAGCAAGAGCTTGAAGAATAGGGTATTAAACTATCATGGTGGCCTCAATTGCAAATATAATCTAGATATGATAAAGTTATGAAAAAGTCTGGCTTCTATAAAAGACAAACACCCTTTGATCAGATACTGTTGAACTCTGATTAAAAACTAATTAAGAAGATTTATAAATTCTTACTAAATTGGAAAATGGAGGATGAGTAAGTAAAAGAAACAATAGTACGATGGGGAAAAAAGCTTTGGCTATAACATACAATTAGAGAAGTGGCAAAACTTATGGGAAAGAAACTATACATTAACAATGACAACATCATACAAATAAAATGTATATAGATGTTTTATATATGGCATTTACCACCTGCTAGGTTAGCTAAAATGTTTAAAAATATGTCTATCAAATATTGGAAACGTCACCAAAAACCAGGCACATTTTATCATAGGTAATGGACTTGTGTTAAAGCAAAAAAAAAAAAAATTGGGCAAAGATACACAGGTAGTTAGAAAAGATGATAGAGTAACATGTAGATTTTAAACCTGAACTGTTTTTATTAGGTAAAACACAAGAAAAACCTGATAAGCAAAGTATGTATTTAATATTGTATGTCTTAACAGCAGCGAGGATTATGGTCGCAAAATATTGGAGAAATGAAGAATCACCGTAAGATGAAGAGATAATTAGAAAGATACGAGATGGTGCAGAAATGGATAGCCTTACATTGAAAATTAAACAGAAAAAAGATATAGAATGTTATCAAACATGGCATTTATTTTACCCGTGGTTGAGGAAAAGGAGTGGAAATTAAGAATGTAATCTGTATTAAGCAAATTAAATATCCAGACAACACAATGTTTATTAAGCACTAATAAATGTAAACAATAGAAAATTAGTTTAAAAAATAAAGATTTCGCACACCCACACACACACACACACACACACACACACACACACACACACATCAATGATGNCAAACAAACAAACAAACAAACAAACAAATAAATAAATAAATAAATGTGCACTGTTTTGCCAAACTCTGCTCCAATTAATTTATGTGAATTTTGTGAAATATAATACATTCATTTAAATTAAAAGATAATTGGTCTTAATAGACACCTCTTCTCCAACTTCTCCAAAAAAGTACGGTATTAAGATAAATATTTGTGAAAATATTTCAGGGATGAAAAATGTTATTCTGTCAATTTGCCTTCATAAAAACATTAAATTGAAGAAAGCAATATGTTATATAATCTGCAATTCATTTATGGTAATATACAGAGCCATCCAACTCCATGGAGAATTAAATATATAGACTGTACTAATGGCAGTAGTTTAGAATCAGCACTGTATGGGGCCACAGACATAAAACGTAACTTCTTGGGTTCCCTAAATCTCCTACCAAACAAAACCCACTTTAATATAGTGACAATCCAAAAATGAAAGAAAAACTTCCCAATGCATCTTCCATTATTCATTCATAATCCCATTAACATTTTGATTTACCTGATCCAGCACTGCCGCCACCACCACCACCTCCTCCTACTCCTCCATACATTCCACCTCCTGCAGAACCTGCGCCACTTCCACCAAAACTATCGGAGAAGTTCGGCATGAGTTTCTGTCGTTTCCTTAGTACTTCTTCTTTATCTACATTTTTGACAAAAAATAATATAAGAGAGATGGAACCAAAACCTGAAGACACATCCATTTTTTTCAGAAGGCAATAGGCTATCGAATAGGGAGTGTGTTTTTACTGCTGTACATTACATAAATATGAGTTGAATTCTTAAATTTTGTAAGAGTATGACTGCATAAATACTGAATAAAAAAGATAGTTGTGTAACTATATTTTTTAAATAAGCCCTTGTATAATGGAGATTCTGAAGCCCTATTTCAAGGAACCTGGCCTTCCTCCTTCACTGCTGGGTATGATGTTTGGAGCAATATATGGAAAACTGAGGCACAGCCTATAATACAAGTTGTCATAGTAGATTGATAGGAAGCAAACTCTGTTATCTATATATAAAAGGCAAATACCACTCACTCATCACAAAATCTCCAGAACCGTAAAGCCTAAAAACTTGAAATTTGGCACGTATATTCCTCTTGGCTTCTAGGTGCTCACTAAGAAAGGATTTTTCAAGATGACCATCAGATCATTAGTATTTTTTATACAATAATAAACACGCTCTGATGCTAATGAGTTCTACTCCCCCTCCCCACCTGAAAAGAACTCTGTTCCAACTGCCAGTTGCCTCACATTCCATTACCTCATTTCACACTGGCAGACGTTCCGCTTCTTCACTCAGGAGCGGTCTGGGGCTCCTTATGGTATTAAACGTCGGTACCTCACCAAAATGTTTATGCCTTCCCCCTATAGAACTGCTTCCGGACTCAAGGCGGTGGGAGCGATATTCCCTTATGGGTTTCAATCACCAACCACCACTGAGCCAACGGATTGAACTGGATTTCTCCTGCATTGCCCAATCATATTGTTTTGTCATGAAGCACGGGTATATTTAACTGTATATTTGTTTGGCTATGTGACCAGGATGTCACAATAAATTACAGACCTCCTGACCAAACCAGCTTTACTAGACACCTAGGATTCACTGGTGACCTTAGGTCTGAGCACTGGCTCAGCTGCTTTCCCACACTAATGTTTTATTCAAGTTTAATAAAATTCTTTTTTCTCTCCTATACTTAAAAAGTTTTTTTTCCTTTCCAGATAACATTCCTTCCCATTTTCTCCTTCCTTTAGTAATGGATTGCCAAATGTATTTCAGGAACTATTTGCAGAGCATGGAATTTTAATTGTTACTTAATTATTAACATTTAATTTTTTTAAAAAAGCCATGGCAGTGAACTGGCTGTTTGTTCAGCTGATCTGGAAGTCTAGCTAGGTGTCCCCTTCCTCCCTGATTGTTCCATGTGCTTTCCTCCTGACACTGTGTGCTTGGTGAATGAAAACAACCATCTAGATAGAAGGAATTAAAACCTTATGTTTTCTTATAGATTAAAAAAAACCCTTCTGTATCATGAAAGGATAGAGCAGTCAAAATAGATCATGGAAGTTACATATCCTAGGGCCATGATGGCGAACCTATGGCACATGTGCCACAGGTGGCACACAGAGCCCTCTCTGCGAGCATGCGAGCTGTCAGCCAGCTCAGCTCCACTGCACATATGTGTACGCCTCCCACTGGCCAGCTGATTTTCAGATTTTTGCTGCACATGCGCGAGACACATGTGCATGTTGAGGGGGGGTAGGTGAGCATGTGGGGGGAACATTCGTGCATGCACATTGGTCATGCACACTTGCGGGGGCGTGGGGAAGCACAGGGGGTTGTGCACGCATGTGCAGGGCGGCGGGGTGCATTTCATTATGGGTGTGGGCACGCACGCATGTGCTATTGTGCATGCACGTGATTTCGGCATGCAAGGAGAAAAAGGTTATCCATCAGTGCCTTAGGGGAAATAGTAAAATGACAAAGATGGGATGAGAGGTACTTAATAATAAGCATTCGGTGTCCGTCCAAGCCACTCCTAAGAGCTCTTTTATTTATCTTAAGATCTTCCAATTAATTCTAGGCAAATAACAAGCCTAATTATATTTCGATTTACACCAGGATATGAACAATGCACAAGATAGGTTGAGAGATATACTAGCATCTTAGGCAATTCTCAGACTAACTTACAGACTAATCCTACTTCCCCTGTGATGATCCTAATTAACTTTTATTGTCTTTGGCTAAAATGATATAAATTGAATCATATTCAGGGAACTGAAAGCAGTCAGTCCAAAGTCCAACATTGCAGGTAAGAGACCAATTTAAATTAAAGCATTTAAAACAGACTGCTGCCCAAGCTTTGTTAAATACGACCAGTTTATAACATAACTAGTAAAGGCCACTATCTTCCTTAGTAGAATCACAGAATCATATAACTGAAAGGAACCTTGGAGGACATCTAGGCCAACCTCCTGGCTAAGGTAGGAGTCCCTATATCATCCCAGACAAATGGCTGAACATTTTTTTTCTTGAAAACCTCCAGTGATGGGAGCACCCATAACTCCAAGTGGCAAGCTGTTCCATTGATTAATATTCTCACTGTCAGGAAATCTCCTTATTTCCAGGTTTATCTCAACTGAGTTTGCACTTACTGCTTCTTGCCCTGTCCTCAAATGCTATGAAGAATAAATTGACACCCCGCTTCCTCTGACAGCCTTTCAAGGGTCAGAAGACAGCTATCTGGGCTCCCTTGTCTCTTCATTAGGCTAAACATACCGAGTTCCCTTAGACCAGGGATGTCAAACTCAAGGCCTGGGGGCTGGATCTGGCCCGTGGGATGCTTAGATCTGGCCCATGGGGCTGCCCTGGAAACAGCAAAGGACTGGCGCAGTGCCTCTACCAGCGAAAATGGAACTCGGGAGAGCTTTGTGTGGCCCTCCTGAGCTCTGTTTTTGCTGGAAGAGGGTTGCAGGAGGCTGTCACAGCTGATAATGGAGCTTGGGAGCCCATTTTTGCCCGAGTGCTCTGCCACAGGCGCCCCTAACACAAATGACATCAAGCTGGCTATGCCCACCCTGGCACCCTAAGGTCAAACACAACCCTAACGTAGTCCTCAAAGAAATTGAGTTTGACACCCCTACCTTAGATGTTCATTGTATGGTTTGGCTTCCAGCCCACTTACCATCTTTCTTTCTCTTCTCTGCAATCTTTCTAGGGCCTCAGCATATTTTTTTGTGTGTTTCTCATGGTGGGCAGAATTGGACACAGTATGACAAATGTGGTCTCCCTTGTGCGGTATAGAGCAGTACTATCACTGCTCGTGATCTTGATCCCTCTGTTGATGCAGACTAGGACTCCACTGGCTTTTTTGGCGGCTGCAGCACACTGCTGACTCATACCCAATGATCTCTCTCATGTACCTGTACATTTAGTTTTTCCTGCCTAAATGCAGAATCTTATTTTTCCCACCACTGAACTGCATCTTGCTAGATAGGGCTCAACGTTGAAGTCTGACAAGATCTTTCTGAATCTTGAGACTAACTTCCAAAGTATTAACAATTTACCACAGCTTAAGTATTAACAATTTACCACAGCTTAGTGTCATGTGGAAATTTCCCCTTCAATCCTCTCATCTAGGTCATTTATGAAGTTGTCAAACACCCCTGGGCCCAAGACAGAACCTAAAGTACCCCACATGATATAGCTTGATGGATAAATAAATAGACAGACAGACAGAAATACAGGCATGTGTGTAAGAGAGTGTGTATAGTCAAGGCTATGGTTTTTCCAGTTGCAATGTATGACTGTGAAAGTGTTGGACCATAAGAAAGGCTGAGTGTCAAAGAATTGAGGACTTTGAACTATGGTGCTGGAGAAGACATCTGCGAGTTCCTTGGACTGCAAGGCAATCAAATTGGTCACTCCTAGAGGAGATCAATCCTGGCTGTTCTTTAGAAGGCCAGATCCTGAAGATGAAACTCAAATACATTGGTCACCTAATGAGAAGGAAGGACTCACTGGAGAAGA